TGTGCGTGTGCGTGTGCGTGTGCGTGTGCGGGGCGGGAGGTGGCAGCGCGAGGGTGAGAGGGCGTGCCTCGGGTCGGTCGTGAGGGTGTGCCACAGAAGAGTCGAAAAGCAGAGCTACGAGTCGACTCCGGTCGAGAACACGCTAGTCGTCACCACGGATGCGGGTGAGCGATAAGCTGGTGGGCCCTTGGAGAAGACACAAGGAAGAGGAGCCAGCGCGGATGATCAAGCGCGCAAGAGTGTCGAGGCAGGTGCGATGCGCTGTGTTGCCCGACGTGGTGGATGGCGTGTCGATCGCAGTGATGGAGAGGGCTGCTGTCTACCTCGAAGCTGTTGTCAAACGAAGGCGGTTCGGATAGATGCAGATGCGGGAACGGAAAGCGTCGTACGTGCGTGTGCACGGAGGTGTGGTTGTGGGGATGCGGTGCGATTCGTCCACGTCCAGGGCGGTGAGCGAGGAGCGGGTCGAAGGTGGGGGAATCCCTGAACGACGTCTTGCACCGAGTTGACTGGACGTCGACGAGCGTAGAGGAGAAGATGAAGTGGTGGTCGTGAATGGAATGGCGATGATCGAGAAGCGAGAGTGAGCGGGATTTTTTTTTGGCGAATTGGGAAGATTGGCAGCTTGCGAAAAAGTGAGAGAGAGAGCCAGAGAGCGAGAGAGCGAGGCGGCGGGAGGGGTGTTGCGTGTCACACGCTTGTCTGCCTCGCTCGCTCTCTCTGCCTTCAGATCGACTTTTTTTTGGAATTCCCGCCCAAAGCGCGATCGGGATCTGTTTTCTGTGCTGGCAGTAACAACCCAGTGCGGCACCCGTCCAGCTGCGGGGTCGAGGCGCGCTCGGTTCGTACGATAAATTTGGCTCTTCATATGGCTCGCCCCTGGGACCGCACAAACACTCACACACTTACACGCAACAGCGACGACGACAGCGAGGGGCGAACGACAAATGTACAGTGCGACAGACAGTGATCTAGCGCAGGTATAGAGAAAGGAAAGGGCGCGAGCGGCAAGCTTCACTTCTTGTGGTCCGAGTCGGTCGACGATTTTGCGGCCGGTACGGCTGCTGTTGACGGCGTTGTGGGTGCTGGTGCCGCAGCCGTGGAGGCATCTGCTGCATCCGCGACGATCGTACTGAGGTCCTGCACAGACTCGCTGGCCGTCACCATGGTCTCGTCGCCCTGGTGCGCCGACGCATTGGGCGACACGGAGCCACTGACCTTCCTCGCACCCGCCTCGCCACCGTGCCCCACATTGCCACCCAGGCTGCGCGGTGGATTGCCGCACCTGTCCTTGCCATACGAGATCTTGACGTTCTGGTAGTCCGGATGGCTCTTCATGCCCTCGATGCACTTGATGGCCGACTGGATGTTGGTAAAGTTGGCAAAGGCGCAGTTCTTCTCGCGCAGCGAGTTGACCGTCTCGATCTCGCCGTACTGCGAAAAGTCGCTCCGGATCTTGTCCTCGGTGAGCACGTCCGGATCGTCAATGTTGCCGATGTACACGTTGCGCGATCCGCCCGCCTGCACCGCAAACTGAATCGCCGCACTCAGCGGTCCCGAATGCTTGCCCCACCCGATCTTGAGCCGCCGGTTGTGGATCATGATGCCCGAGTACGACGCCAGGTGGTAGAACGCCAGCGCCGCGTTCGGATCCACAAACGTCACAAAGGCAATGTGCTTCTCGGGGATGAATCGGATGTTCTGCAGGATGCCGCCGCGGATGTGGTTGCAGATCTCGGCCGTGGTGGTCTCCGGATGGATGTTGCCCAGGTAGATCGTGCGGTTGCCCAGCTGCTCGAGCGCAGCCGCGTTGGCGCCCATCATGGCCGCCGCAGGTCCAAACACCGAGCTCGCCGCCGAGCCCGCATTTTCAGGCCCGCTCGCCGCGTTCACGGGCACGGGCAGCTGGCCACCAAAGTTGTTGGCCGCCGCAAACGCCGCCGCCGGGTATCCGAGCGAGGCAGCCGCCGCCAGTCCCATGGCCGCCGCCTGGTTGTTGTGCGCCTGGTTCTGCTGCTGGCTCTTGGGCACGTAGGCGCATCGGTCCTTGCCGTACGACACGCGTTTGCCCGCCCACGCCGGCTCGGTGGGCAGCGTAGCCACCACCTTGATCGCCGTCTGGATCGAGAGAAAGTGGACGAACCCAATGTTCTTGTCGCGCACGATCTTGACCTGGTCGATGGGCCCGAAGCGCGACAGATCGTCGCGCAGCGACTGCTCCGAGACGCTCTCGTCGAGCTGGCCGACGTAGACATTGCGCGAAGCCTGGTTCTGCTGCACCGCCATCAGCACGGCCGGGTGGCACTGCGACGGCTTGCCCCAGCCGATCTTGAGCTCCTGGTTGTGCAGCGACACCTTTTTGACGCACGCGTCGGCGTGGAAGGCGGTGGCGGTGGAGCCGTCGAGGAACGAGATGAACGCGCAGTTCTTTTCGGGCAGGATGCGCACGTTTTCGATGGGCCCAAACTTGACCAGGTTGAGCAGCTCGTCCACCGATGCGTCGGCGGGCAGGTTGCCCACGTAGACGGTGCGGTTCAGCGGGTTGATCTGGCGCGGCATGGCCGAGAGCACGCCGACATTGGGCACAAAGCCGGGTGTGGCGCCAAAGTTGGGGCCAAAGTTGGGAAACATGGTTGCGGCTGGATTCAAGCCGTTCGCACCGGAGAGCAGGAAAGGAGCGGCGGCGACAGCAGCAGCAGCAGCAGCCGCATCGAAAGGCTGGCCGTTTTGTGCGCCGATGAGGTTGGCGTGACCGAGGTTGCCCGAGAAGGAGCGTGTGCCGTTGGTGCCATTGCCTGGCGGCTGCAGACCGGGCACGGCGGAGAAAGGCTGAGGTTGAGGCTGCGGGCCGGTGGTGGCGCCGTTGGCGAGGAATGGAGGCTGAGCAGCTGCGCCCGTCGGAAAGTTGGCAAAGTTGTGCTGGGCGAGGCTGGGGATGTTGCCTTCCGAGACGAAGCGCGCCTTCTTGGCGGCGGCGGCGGCGGCAGCAGCAGCGGCGGCG